GGGGGGGGGGGGGGGGGGGGGTGTCATAATTATGAGCTGTACAACAGATTAACCTGTGGAGTCACCTCAGTTCAAAATGGCCACCACAAAACTGGCTTTAACTCTGTCAGTTTTAGGAATTTGGAGCAGAATTTGGTGTGGTGGTAGCTGAGAATCTTTTACAATATTTTATGAGCACAAACAAATTTTCAAACATTTAACCAAAACAGCTGCAATTCTTTTCCTTCTCATCAGAAGATGATCTTAGTCTCTGGCATGAAAGGTGGTGGACAGTGTGTATTCTTTCATGGACTTTTAGGCCCCTAATTACTTTCTTTTTATTTATTTATCTGGAGCAGCAGCTGGTTTGGGCCAGAGGTTTCCTTCTTCCCTGGCCTGTTTTGATTGGCTGGCTGCAGCCACCCTCAGACCTTCAGTTGTATCGTAGACTCACTCCTGTTTGGACTTGGAGGTGGTGTGAGCTGTGACGAGGTTTTCAGGTGGTAGGTTGGCAGAGGGAGGGTGGGGCTCTGTGATTTGACTAATGAAAGCATCTCTGTTGAAGCTGAAGTGGGTTCCTTTCTGAGGGACCCTCAGTGTACAGAGGGTTGGACCTGATGCCCAGCTGCCACACTGTGAGCTCCATGTGAAGGAAAGGCTGAGCAGATAAGAGGTGGTAGACGGACACTAAAGTATAACTAAAGCCTGTTGTTCTCCCACAGATCTAAGTCACAGTTCAGAAACGTCTGTGGTGGAGGTGAAGGGAAGTGTGAATGTAAGGACGTCCTCTCCACAGACTCCTCTCCATGCAGCTGGGTTCACTGCAGCAACACTCTGACACCTGCAGGTAAAATAACCCCCTCCAAACACCCGTTTTTACAGTAAATTCACTACAAACTATTCTGTTGTGCTTTCAGGGGGGCTGGTTGAACACCTGACACCTGAGACTCACAAACAAGAAGCCAGCTCTCATCCAGAAGAAACACAAGAAGGTTTGCTGAGTTCCTGTTTTCCACTACATTATTATAGTTTTATTGAAACACACTCTTTAAATACTCTGATAAAGTTTAACTTCATTTCCTTTGACTTTTTTCAAACACATTTACAGTTTCTAAAGTCATTTAAAAATGATAACACAGAATACGGATGGAGTCTAAATAAAAGAATCTGGGTTGTAAGTTAAAACAGGCAAATTATCACCACCCAGGCTGAAGTGAGCAGACTAAAAGTAACTAGTCAAAGGATGATAGCTAAGAAAAGCAAAACTGTAGCTTAACTCAGGGCTTCTTAACCTTTTTGACCTCGGGGCTCAATTTATTGAACATAAAGTGACACGAGGTCCAGTCAGACATTAC